ACCCCATTTTTTCCCATTTTATCCCCATTTCACCCCATTTTTTCCCATTTTATCCCCATTTCACCCCATTTTATCCCCATTTTACCCCAATTTTTTCCCATTTTACCTCAATTTATCCCCATTTTACCCGTTTTTTTTCCATTTTACCCCAATTTTTTCCCATTTCACCCCATTTTATCCCCATTTCACCCCATTTTATTCCCATTTTACCCCAATTTTTTCCCATTTTACCTCAATTTATCCCCATTTTACCTCATTTTTTTTCCATTTTACCCCAATTTTTTCCCATTTTATCCCCATTTTTCCCCATTTCATCCCCACCTCACCCCATTTTTTCCCCATCTCACCCCCATCCCTCCCCCGGGGGTTCCCAAATCCATCCAAAACCTCCCCAAAAATTCCCGGCTGGGGGTTGGGGCTCTCAATGGCCGCGCTGTTCCCGCTCTGAGCCTCCTTTGTTCCCCTCCCCCCCCGGGGGGGCCGAGGTTGCCATGGCAACTGTCACCAAACCCCCCCTCCCCCCCCTCGGTGTCACCGAGCCAGCGCTCAGGGGACACCACTTGGGGACACCCCAAAATTCGGGGTTTTTGGGGTTTTTTTTTTGGGGGGGTGGGGTTTGTCTCGGGGTCCCCAATTCCCATCTGGGGGTCCTCAATTTTTTTTTTTTTTTGGGGATCCCAAATTTCAAATCTGGGGTCCCAAATTTTCTCCTGAGGTCCCCAATTCCCATCTGGGGTCCCCAGTTCCCATCTGGGGTCCCCAAATTTCTCCCCTTGGGGTCCCCAAATTTCCCTTTGGGGTCCCCAAATCCCCCTTGGGGTCCCAAATTTTTTCCTTGGGGTCCCCAATTCCCATCTGGGGGTCCCCAAATTTTCCCTTTGGGGTCCCAAATTCCTCCCTTAAGGTCCCCAGATTTTCCCTTGGGGTCCCAAATTTCACATCTGGGGGTCCCCAAATTTTCCCTTGGGGTCCCAAATTTTTCCTTTAGGGTCCCAAATTCCTCCCTTGGGGTCCCCAGTTCCCATCTGGGGGTCCCAAATCCCATCTGGGGTCCCCAAATTTCCTCCTGAGGTCCCAAATCCCCCTTGGGGTCCCAAATTTTTTCCTTGGGGTCCCCAATTCCCCCCTCGATGTCCCCAATTCCCATCTGGGGGGTCCCAAATCCCCTTTTGGGGTCCCCAAATCCCATCTGGGGTCCCCAAATCCCCCCTTAGTGTCCCCAAATCCCCTTTTAGGGTCCCCAAATCCCCCTCCCAAACCCTCCCCAACCCCCTCTCGACGTCCCCAACCCCCTCCTTTCATTTTATTTATTTATTTTATTTTTTTTTTAAATTTGAGGAAGAGGAGGTCTCTCCTTCCTCTCCCAAACCCCTCCCCCTCTCCACCCCCCCCTTCCCCCTTTCCTCCCATTGGCCCGTCCTCCCGCATCTCATTAACATCTCATTAACGCCCTCATTAGCATCTTTCTCGGGGCAGGTGGGGGAGAAAAAAGCAGCACCGGAGAGGAGGAGGAGGAGGAGGAGGAGGA